CCCCCCCCCAATCCACTTCATAGATTGATTACTCAGCTATGATATTTTTGGGGGAAATTAACAAAAAAGTGTTCATAAAATAAGTCAGATCCTGCCTGAGTTAATCAATATCATATCAATGAGACAAGTTAGCCTTGACACATGTTGATAACTTGGTTTAAGTTCAGCGCCCTGGTTCTGGATACAACTCATGATCTACAATTGATATGTTTGTACCAAATATATTTAAGGAATTATAAACTTCAAATTACAACTGCTGAATGATGGTTTTTCCTGTCAGTACCTTTTTAGATGAAATGGCCATTGTTGTTATCGGGGCATTATTCTGGAAAATAAAAAGAAACAATAGTTTAGATTCTAAAACTTTGTTTAATCAAATTACAAGAGTTCCCAATCCATTAAACTGACCTGGGGTGACACAGAGGTTAGAATGCAATTTGCAGACTAACTCTGCCCACTGCCAGGAGTTAGATCCTAACCAGGTCAAGGTTGACTCAGTTTCCCATCCTTCCAGGGTTGGTACAATGAGGACCCAGATCGTTGGGGGCAATAGGCTGACTGTGTAAACCGCTTACAGAGGGCTCTAAAGTGCTATGAAGCAGTATATAAGTCTGAGTGCTATTGCTATCTAAACCCTGTGATGCAGTGGTTAGAATGCAGTGGCTAACTCTATTCACACTGCCAGCAGTTCGATCCTAATGGGCCTCAAGGTTAAATCAGCCTTGCATCCTTCTGAGATCAGTAAAACGAGGACCCAGATTGTGGGGGCAATACGATGACTCTATAAACTGCTTAGAGAGGGTTATAAAGCACTGTGAAGTGGTATATAAGTAAGTGCTATTGCTATTAACTGACAGTCCAGTCTTCAGATAATGACATTTTTATCTTTTTCCAGCTTTGTAGCATGTTCTTCACAATTTCCCGTGACAGCATAACATCCAACGTTAACAAAACTCTGAGCAGGCACATGAACTTTTATAGCCCTGACGCTTACGGCTCTATCACTTGAGGAGCCTATGAAGAATGGACCCAGAACTGAAGATAGTCAGTCTTGCTTTTTTTTTCCAAATATAAATTCTGGTATTTATGCTTTGAAAAATGATAGCACGTATCTTTTTGGTTCACAGCTCATATTTAAACGAGCATGTAAACAGGACGAAGGAAATATCGCCTACTTCTTGCAAGCAATACCGAACAAGGCGTACAGTTTCATAACTTTGCTTTGGATTATCAAGGCAACCATCCACATTACAAATGAAGTGTTGGCATGATTGACTTTTTGTTTGCATTCAGCTGGTTCAGAAGACACTTCCAGCTAGCTGGGATGTTGCTCTCTTTGGCTACTTTGGCCCAGAGTTAGAAACAGAAAGAGGATAAAGGAGCGACGTGAAGTGTTAATGGGATGTCCTGCTAAACTAGCAAGACAATGTACCCTCTTTGTAAAGCACACTCATACAATAACCAAGAAGAGGAGATATCCAGGGCTCAAGGTTTAACAGGATAATCCCATAAGAAAAACGAAGTTCAGGCAAATCAAGCTGAAATGTTTCTCTTTGCAAGATATGACGTGTAGTAGCCTAGATTTAAAAGAAGGCAAATTTGGTCTTTCGATGGGGGATTTTTCTACACAGGTTCCACTCTAGCTCCATCCAGATCCAATTGTGGAACACCAAACCTAATCAACCCTTTTTGCTCTGCTATTGCCAAGAAAAAGAGTTAGAAAAATGCCCCTCAAAATATATATATTTCTCCATTACAGAACCCATTGCTAGAGTCTATAAAGATTTGTTCTGGTACCATACGGAAAAAAAAATATTTGAACAAAGGTTTAGAAGAAGTCATCACTCTCGCAAGAGAACTTTCCTTATGTGAATTGAATTAGACATTAATGTTCAAGTGGAAATCTGCCAGAAGGTATGAGCTGAATATCAAGCAGTATTGCAGGCTAACTCTGCCCACTGCCAGGAGTTCAATTCTGAATTTGGTTCAAGGTTGACTCAACCTTCCACCCTTCCAAGGACAATAAAATGAGGAGCCAGATTGCTGTGGGCAATATGCTGATGTTTTAAACTGCTCAGAGAGGGCTATAAAGCGCTAAGGAGCGGTATATAAGTCTAAGTGCTATTGCTATTATCTCTGCAGCTCTTTTCAGATAACCAAGGCCAGGTGAATGGGTGTGCCTTTTACCAAAGAGCCATATGGTTGCTAAGATATGTATAGATCAGGGGTAGGCAACCTTGGCTCTTTTGTGACTCGTGGACTTCAACTCCCAGAATTCCTGAGCCAGCATGGCTCAGCTTGGAAACTCTCCCTTTCACCTCAGCATGGCTGGCTCAGGAATTCTGGGAGGTGAAGTCCACGAGTCGTAAAAGAGCCAAGGTTCCCCTCCCCTGGTATAGACCAAGCATTTGATCAGAACTAGGACAAGGGGTAGAAGAAGAAGAAAAAACACCACCCTTTTTTCTTAGGTCCTCTAAAACAAATAAATAAACATCCCTAAAGCTGCTTTTGGTTCTCAAATCAGGGTTCCTCTTGTGGACGACTGGAGTTTGGAAAGAATGAATGAACCCCCTTTCTCACGTGTCAGCCTTGATCCTTCTTTATCTCATCCTCCATGATTGCAAGTAAAGGAAAAGAGAATGTGCATAATTTAGTATCAGTTGTGTATGGCGGAGAACAGGACCCAAAGAACCAACTGAGATCATCAAGATCCCTGGTGGCACAGTGGTTAGAATGCAGCATTGCAGGCTAATTCTGCCCAATGCCAGAAGTTCGATTCTCACCGGCTCAAGGTTGACTCAGCCTTCCGAGGTCGGTAAAATGAGGACCCAGATTGTTGGGGGTAAGACGCTGACTATAAATTGCTTAGAGAGGGCTGTAAAGCACTGTGAAGCAGTATATAAGTCTAAGTGCTATTGCTATAGTTAAGTGCTATAAGCTGTGAAGCAGGGAGCAGACAAGGATACGAAAGAGACACAGGAAGGCAGCCAAAAACTCCAAAATGCTCTCCAAGTCATCTCTTGGAGAACTTTCAGAATGCTTGACAGAAATTGTCAAAGGAGTTCTCTAGAGTTTTTTCCCTGGCAAGAAATAACAAGTGATTGCAAAACTCACCAGCTTCTCAGTTCATTCACACACTGAGTGATATTCTAGCTATATTGTGCTATTCTATTCTATTCTATTCTATTCTATTCTATTCTATTCTATTCTATTCTATTCTATTCTATTCTATTCTATTCTATTCTGTTATATTTTCTATTTTCTACTCTACTCTACTCTACTCTACTCTACTCTACTCTACTCTACTCTACTCTACTCTACTCTATTCCATTCCATTCCATTCCATTCCATTCATCGTCTAGTCCAGTGGTCCCCAACCATTCCAGTTCTGTAGATTGGGAGCAGTGGCAGTGGGAGACAGGGGAGGAGATGGCTTCGCACGTGTGCCTGCCGGTTTCACAAATGGAGCATCACACACTCGCCTGTCACTTGCATAGCCTGGTTCCCAACAGGCCACAGCCCGGAATCATGTCACGGACTGGGGGTTGGGGACCTCTGTTCTAGTCCAACCCCCTGCTCAAGGTAAGGGACCTTATACCATCCCAGTCAAATGATTGTCCAGTCTACTTTTGAAAACCTCCAGCAATGGAGTACCCACAACCCTAGGAGGCAAGTTATTCCATCAATTGTGAGAAAATTTCTCCTTACTTCTAGGTTGAATCTCTCTTTGACAAGATTCTGCCCATTACTTCTTGTCCTGCCCTCTGGTGCCTTAGGGAATAGACTAGACTAAACTAGACTAGACTAGACTAGACTTGACTTGACTAGACTAGACTAGACTAGACTAGACTAGACTAGAATAGAATAGAATAGAATAGAATAGAATAGAACAGAATAGAATAGAATTACAGAATAGAATAGAATAGAATAGATGGAATAAATATAGAACAGAACAGAACAGAACAGAACAGAACAGAATAGAATAGAATAGAATAGAACAGAACAGAATAGAACAGAGTAGAGTAGAGTAGAGTAGAGTAGAATTACAGAATAGAATAGAATTACAGAATAGAATAGATGGAATAAATATAGAGTAGAGTAGAGTAGAGTAGAGTAGAGTAGAGTAGAGTAGAGTAGAGTAGAATAGAATAGAATAGAATAGAATAGAATAGAATAGAATAGAATAGAATAGAATAGAATAGAAGCTGGAAGGGACCTTGGAGGTCTTCTAGTCCAGCCCCCTGCTCAAGCAGGAGAACCTATACCATCTCAAGGCAATAAGGCCATCCCTTCTCCCCCCCCCAAAAAAAAATACAGGTTTCCCTCATCCACTTTGTCTTGGTCATCTGTGGAAATGTGGCTGTATGACAAAGGAAATTTTTTCTTCTTCTTTCTGCAGTAGCTTCATCCTACTCTCTAAGAGCATGGGGATTTCGGGGGAAAAAAGAGTATTTCTCCCAAAGGATCTTAAAACTGGAGAAGTGGGATGAGAAATAGGCCAAAGCTAGCTTGACACAGAAAGAATGTGAGTCATTTTCTGGTTCTGTAATTTCCTTTTTTTCCTTTTTCTGCAAAGGATCTCAAACTGTAGCTGTTGCAGTCCAATCTGAGCTTGGGAACGGGGAAGAGGACTTCCAAAGTCAGACTTGGCTTAGAATGGGAACTACTTTTCTTAGCATAAATTATAACTTGGATGCAAACACTGGCAAGTCATGGGTGTCTCTAGTTCCATTAGCAGTTCACACGGAAATTAGCAAGCCCCCTTCCCATCTCCTGCAGACTTCCAAATATCCAGACAAAGTCCATGAATTGGGTCTTTAAGGAGTGTCCATTTTTGATACAAGGGATGGATGTGGCTCTCTCTCTCTCTCTCTCTCTCTCTCTCTCTCTCTCTCTCTCTCTCTCTCTCTCTCTCTCTCTCTTTTAGCAGTCGGCGTCATGTAAAATGAGGTTTGTGGAACGCATACAAAGAGAAGGATGTGCATTCAGTGGAGAAAAATGGAACATTAATCTAAACAGCTGCAAATGCCAAAAAAGCCAATGCAGTCCTAGGCTGCATTAACAGAGGGATAGAATCAAGATTGTGAAAAGTGTTAATTCCACTCTATAATGCCTTGGTAAGGCCACACATGGAATATTGCATCCAGTTTTGGCCACCACGATGTAAAAAAAGATGTTGAGACTCTAGAAAGAGTGCAGAGAAGAGCAACAAGGATGATTAGGGGATCGGGGGCTAAAACATATGAAGTACGGTGGCAGGAATTGGGTATGTCTAGTTTTAATGAAAAGGACTAGGGGTGACATGATAGCAGTCTTCCAATATCTAAAAAGCTGCAACAAAGAAGATGGGGTCACCCTAGTCTCCAAAGCGCCTGAAGGCAGGACAAGAAGCAACGGATGGAAACTAATCAAAGAGAGAAGCAACCTAGAACTAAGCAGAAATTTCCTGACAGAATAATTGATCAGTGGAACAGCTTTCCTCCAGAAGTTGTGGCTGCTCCATCACTGGAGATTTTTATGAAGAGATTGGACAGCCATGGATTAGAGCTGCTTGCTTTAAAAGGGGGCTGGACTAGAAGACCTCCAAGGTCCCTTTCAACCTTGTTATTCTGTTAAACAATAATGTGAAACTTCCTGAATCACTTCTTTAGAGCTTCAGCTGATTGAGGCCAATATTGGAAACTTTTGGGTTATAAGAAAAAAATAGTAAGTTTTTTTAAAATGTCTTATTGTCAGAAACCTTATCAACTGAGACATGCACACACAAACACCCGCAGTATACTTGACATCCCACCACAAGAGATTGTAATCATGATATAAACAAAGAAGAAGTCAGATTTTGTGGCAGCTGTTAGAACTTGGAAAAGTGTGTGTGTGTGTGAGTGTGTGTTGGGGAAAAACCTTTCAAAATTCTTTAAGCCAGGCTGACAATTTAATGAAGAACAAGCAATTTAAAGTGGAGTGTAAAATATCGTAAGTCTGTTTTTCTTCCCTTGGAGAAACCCAACCGATCAAGATCAACACGATGAAACCTCCCTTTTAACAGACCCATGGAGAGAGTGGGCATCTGTTAAATGTGTGTTTTCATGGTGAGTTGTATTCTTTAATGAAACTATTACGCAAATTACATCCTTTGGGGTGAATGTACACCAAGGGGTCTCCAAACTTGTCAACTTTAAGACTTGTGGACTTCAACTCCCAGAATTCCCCAGCCAGCATGGCTGGCTGAGGAATTCTGGGAGTTAAAGTCCACAAGTCCTAAAGTTGACAAGTTTGGAGATTCCTGATGTTACATCATTGGCGGGATCTTTTGATGCAAATGAGGTAAATGAGTACCAATTGTATCATTTGCATCGTGGCATAAAGCAAATACACAAGTTGCCCTGGAAATTTGATCTTCTGCAAATGCGGGAAAGGTTGGATTATTGCACCAAGGTCTACCACAGGGGTCTTCAAACTTGGCCCTTTTATGACATGTGGACTTCAACTCCCAGAATTCCTTAGCCAGGCACACTGGCTGAGGAATTCTGGGAGTTGAAGTCCACAAGTCATAAAAGGGCCAAGTTTGAAGACCCCTGGTCTACCATATGAATGTTTCATTGTAATTAGAAAATGCAGTGATTTTGTTTCATTTTACTGTTTACCTGAGAAATATTCCATCTTGCCAAGCTAATTTAGATGAAAGTGCAATAGTAAAACACACACACACACACACACACATACACATAGGAAGCTCAGGGTTAAACTGTTAAACTTTTGATGTGTTCTGAGCTTTTTTCCCTTACCAATGTTCTGTCATACCAGGGTAGATATCAGGCACAAAGAACTAGGAACACTTGCTGAGTTCAAAGCACTGAAGAATTTATTATTGCACCCATCTCCAGCTGATTGGCCCAAAGTCTCCCAGCTGTCTTTCATGGTTAAGTAAGAATAAGAACTCACAGTCTCCCACTTTGTAGCTTAGTGCCTTAACTATTAGACCAAATTGGCTGCTATGATAGATGATAGATAGATAGATAGATAGATAGATAGATAGATAGATAGATAGATAGATAGATAGATAGATAGATAGATAGATAGGTAGATAGGTAGATAGATAGATAGATAGATAGATAGATAGATAGATAGATAGATAGATAGATAGATAGATAGATAGATAGATAGGTAGGTAGGTAGGTAGGTAGGTAGGTAGGTAGGTAGGTAGGTAGGTAGGGAGAGAGAGAGAGAGAGATATTATTATTGCTACTTATGCATAAGAATCTGGTCAAATAATGGTCAGAGCTAATAACTACGATCTATTCTAAGTTGTCTTAAGTGCCCGTCGACCTGAATCAAAAAAACACCCTCCCGTTTCTAAGGTTTGACTACTGTACGAATTGGGGTGGAAGGTCGAGTCAAACGAGTAGAGGATGTCTTCTATGTTGGCAATGGCGTACCCTCACATTTGAAACTATCACCAAATATATACAAAAGTAAACGACGATCGTCTAGTTATCTGTTTGCTTGCTTGTTGGATGAAAGTGTTTTGATGAGGGGAAAAAAAAGAACGAAGAACCCTGAGAGAGACTAACCTTAAACACTTCCAGTTCTTCCAAGATCAGCTCTCCATTTGCCGATGAGTTAGATGGCAGTGCCACCACCTTCTGCACCGTCCCCTGGTCTGAAATGGAGAAGAAGTGGACCATATTTGAGACCATGCAGAAACGAAGAGCTGAATTTTCACTGCATACAATGCAAAGATGAGCAGAGTGCCAGTAATCCTTTCAAAACAGAAATTGTTGCATCTTGTAAAAAAAGAGGAGGAGACCTTAACTGGACCAGTTGTGAAAGCCCTCCAAATATACACCTTGATTGACCCTACAGATTTTGAACATATATCTATGTCTTCATCATCATCATCATCATCATCATCATCATCATCATCATCATCATCATCATCATTATTATGGATCATCGCACAGTAAGACAGATGTTCAGACTGGATTTGGCATTTTTGTCTACCTATCGAGTCCTTCCCAAGGACCTGGGATAGGCAGATGTGGATGTTTGATGGTATTACAGATATCATCCCAGGATGGAAGCAGTTCCTAGTAAGGCCGCCTCTTGCGATTGACTAATGGCGAATTTGTCAATGCCAATGGTGTTCAAGTGGTGCTCCAGTTGTTTTGGGATTGCACCCAAGGCGCCTATTACTATTGGTACTACCCTTGCTTGCCTTTGCCACAGTCTTTCTATTTCTATTTGTAGGTCTTTGTATTTTGTGATCTTCTCCAGTTCTTTCTCGTCTATTCTGCTGTCTCCAGGCAC